TAAAGCCGGACTTGTTTGGTTGAATTAATTCATTCCTGAAATATTTTGAGGTTTTTAAATGAGGCCGCTGGATTCCTGAGTTTGGGAATGGCTGCTCAGGTATGACGGTAATTATCTTATGTCATCAAACCTCCTGAGCCAATTACAAAACAGAACAGATGAAGTTTGGTTTCAATCCAAAATGTGCGTTTAATTAAAAATATAAAAAATAAAAAATCACTTTACATCAGTAGAGACTCTGAGTGTGCTCGGTAAGACACGAGAACCACAACAAACCAGGATCCCCAAACAAAGAGTGTGACTCATCCTTCAAGTTCAACAACCAGCTCATGCAAATGTTGTTAGTCCTGTTGGGAAGGTCCTGGACTTTCTCTGTGACCTACTGCAGGTAAATGTCAAAGAAGGTCATTCTCTTTGGGATTGGGATCGTCTTCTTGACACACTCAAGTTAAACTCTGCAGAATCGGTTTGAAAACCAGCTGACAGTTTCCTCCTGGTTCAGGTTTTTTCTGTGATGCTGAACCGACGGTCTTTGAAACGGTGACGTGAGTCTGGCACGGTGTCAAACCCTAAAAGTGAGTGTGAAACAAACGCAGCAGCAGCAGCAGCAGCAGAGCCATGTGATGTGCCGTCTCTGCGGATGTATGCAGTAATAAATCATCCATTACTGTAAGTGAGCTCTCTTTGCATTTGTCCAGAGGCTCCTTCTGGATATCACTCCTAACGGATTCCCAGCATGAGCCGTGTTTACACTCCTGCCAGCTGCTCCTATACAGTAAGGTGCAGCCCCTCTTCAGAGTTCAGAGGAAACGATTTCTATCTCACTTCTTGTTAAACTGCTTTAGTTTCCGTTTCGCAACAGGATGTCAAATCTTTCACACAAACGAGGTTATGTTTTGAGACATTAGACTCGTGGTTTCCTGCAGAGGAATGTGCAGACAAAGTCCACTTGTGTTGGTTTTAAGCCAAGTCTCACAGAACACACATTCACACTCTCGCCATCGTGCAAGTTTGCAGAGCAGCATTGTTGTGGGCTTGCAGACAGAGGCGGCTCATTAACTCTACAGTCTGCTGCCTCTGTGCAGACGCTCTTACAGTGAGGGCCTTGTTTCTTAAACTTCTCAGAACTGGCTCTCAATGTACTTGCGAGGCCGCCGCGTTACAATGTCAGCTTTATTAGCGGCAGCAGCTGAAGGCCCGGTGGTGATTTAAGAAGTGAGGCCCGGCCCGATATAAACAGCCGAGTTGTGAGGCAGAATGACTCCGATTTAACCCGCAGCTGTCCAGTGCCATCCTGATATCATCACCAACACATACAGTATAAACTTAGACTGAAGATGGTTCCTTAGATAACAATCATCAGGGGACTGACGCACCTTTAAAGGTGGACTCTACTCAGTGGATCAAGTATCTAGTGACTGGAATAAAGTTCTGCAAACTTAGACGGTTTCTGCACAAAGTTGTGAAGGTTATACATGATCAGATTATTAAGGTCGTTACACACCGGCGAATTTGCGAAGAGACATGAAAATGTGAAACATTCAGTTTACGCCTTTTCCTTTTACACACCTGGTGTGACGCGAATAAAATTCATATATTTGTATAAAAATACGCCACACGAGAACAGAGCTTAAAATCATGAGAAATTCTGACAATACTTCTGAATGATCCTCTAGAGCTGCTCCATCAGTTGCAGAAGGAGAGGACAAATTACAGAGAGACGACTGATCGAGAGCAACGGCTCACCACGTCTGAGGTCAGATTTATATCAGTAGGATGACCAGACATGTCCTCTTTTTTGGGGGGGCTGTCCGGACTTGTCTGGCTTTGTCCGGGGAAGTTTATAAAATCCTTCAAATGTCTGCAGTTTTGTACGGAAGTTTTGAGTTTGTGTTGTATGGATTTTCTGAGTTAGAAGCTCGTAAAAGACACTCGATCCGACCCGAAAAACTCTCAAAATTAACTTCATGCAACCCCGTGACTCCGCCCCTGCGTAGTCGTGTCCTCTTTTCAGGAAGTCAGAATATGGTCACCCTAATATTGGGCTATAGATTTACACAGCAGTTCACCTGCAAATTTCGCTACGGGAAGAAAGAATTTGTCATGTTTTCGTGGAAGTTCGTAGCCGATGTGGAAGCTTGCTTTGGCTTTATGAGATTAAAAAAAAAGGTAATTATTCTTCGCAAATTCACCCTGGTGTGTAATGACCTTAAATCTCGACTTGTTTACCTTCTCATGAAACTTCAGTCTTTTTGCTTTTTGCCCCTGAGTTTCATAAAGTCTGGTAAAAGTGTTTCGAGTTCGCTGCTGCAGGAGAATTCAGGTCTTTTATTTTGGAGGTAGATTGAAGGTTTTGGAGGCAGATGCATCAGGCTGAAGATTCTTCGCCTGATGACTTCCTGTTATGTGTTGACGCTTGTTTTCTCATCCTTGTTTTGTGTCTAACTTTGCTCATATCAGTGACATTCTCACAGATAAAGACATTTCAGTTTAAGAAATCAGATTTTTACCTTTTAAAACCTCCTCACTGCAGTTTCAAGTACTTTTAAAGTCTGACGTTTACTGGAACAGCAAAAAAAAAGATCGCTCACGCTTTGTCGTGTCAGATCGACCAATTCTAGCATTTCGTGACATTCGCTAATCTAAATGATTAGATTTGTAACACAGGGTCAAACAGGCCTGACGCTTGAAAAATTTAATCTAAGATGGTTGCGAGCAAAAACACGTCATCAAAAGATTGCCGTCGATAGAAGCTGGATGTTCTGCCTGCTTTTGCTCTCCATACTTCCCCTGATACTTCATTAAATATAGATTACAGTCATGGAGAAGTAACTCAGAGAGTGGAAGTGCAGTAAAACTCTTTAGAGGACTTGCCCTTGACCTGTCTGACTCCGCCCATTAACCAGCTGAACCCTGAAACCAGTCCTCACTCTGCTGGTTTCACTCACGCCACGGTAATAATGAGGTTTCCGGTGCTCGGATCTGGTCCCCTCCTGCGCCCCTTGCCCCCCGCTCCACTTTTCCTGATCCGTCTTAGATCTGCTGGGTCGAGCTAAAGCCCCAAACAAAGACTCGTACACAGAGAGCCAAACACACACTTACTCATGTGTGACTGAGGGCAGAGGAATGCACACTATGAGTGTTTGAGTGTGTGAGTGTGACACAGAGATTATGAGGAACAGGGACCGAGGAATCGACACCAGTGTCCTTTCGCTCATGACCGCGCCGCCTTCTGAATTATTCATTCCTTTACAGCGTGTCTGTGTTTGTCTGTGTTTGTCTGTGTTTGTTTGTGTTTGTCTGTGGGTGTGCACACTGTCCATTTTCCCTCTTTCTAGGTCACAGGTCACACAGGGCCTGGATCAGTGAGACCTCCATCCACCTGTACGCTGAGAAAACCGCACACAACAAACTCCAGAAGAACAAAACGAGCCGCTCTGTACTTTTCTTTGATGATAATAAAGGCGTTAAAGTGAACTGAATTCATTCCACTCTGACAGCTTTAATTTCACATGAAACCAGAAGGACCGGTCCTTCCTGTTCGCTTTTACGTGTGAAGAAAGGGAGTAGATTTACGCGCCTGAGCTGAAAATGGCCGCAGTATCTTACAGATGTGTAAAAATAGCGCAGGTAAACTTGTCTCATCGTCCCGAAAAACCACTCTCTCTCTCTCTGCGGGGGAATGTTTGCAATGTGAACTTGTGTCGCAGGATCAAAAAACCAAAACGACAGCGTGTAAAGACGTGATGATGTTGCATAAGGTGACAGTAGAAGAAGAAGAAGACGCGGCCTCCAGGTTCACAAACTGAAGTGTCTTAAAATTAAATCATGTCTGATGGCGGGTAATGACTCTGCTGTTTGCATAAAGAAGTCCAAGTATGGGGACGCTTTAGGGGTCTTTAAGAGAAGGGCCCCCCTCCTGTATTGACTTTGCACCACAGTCAACATTTCCCGATTAGGGTCATGGTCTTTTTCTGCAGGTTTACAGACTTTACGGTAAGACACGGTCCATTGGTTTGTCTAATATTCAACCATTTACAGTAAAGAGGAGGTCGTTTCATGTCTCCTCTTCCTCTTGGTTGACAACTACCTCAAAAAACTGTATAAGCCTCTAAGAAACAGGTTTGTTTAAAGATTTAGTGTGGTGTCTCCTTAGGATCTATATTTCTGTTTCTATGCAGTTATTTCTAATGTGTGAAACCACTGATGGAGAGTACAATTTCCACCGCATCTGGAACGGCTACAAAAAGGCCGTATCCACCGATCGTAGCTGATCGTAACCATTCAAGTTAATGTGTCAATTTACACCGACTTCTTTCCATTCCACTACATATCACCGGACTCTGCAGCTGATCGCAGGAGTTCTATTTTTTTTCCGGATGCCAGAGTATGCCGGATAAATTCAGCACAGATTAACCCATGCTGGGAAAAAAGTCGGGCACAGACACAAAATAAAACATCCGTGTTTCAGGCGGATTGTATTTCACACCATGCAAACAGGCGGGACGAACAAGTGAAAGATTTATAGATGTCATTTCACCCCAATGACACCATGGATGAGGAGATGCTGATTTTATAAGTCTAGAAGTAGATTTCCTCGTCTGGAAGGACACAATCTACTGCTTATATGATTAGACTATATGGCTCAAGACAACTTGTTATCGCGTGATTGCACGTGAAACCGCAGGTTCTTGTGAGCTCTCAAGATTACCGCTGTCCGTAATCTGCCACAAAATTTGCCTAAAAAACGGATTGGCTGAATTGGCGGATGGCGAAAATTGGTGGACGGTGGAAATCCCGGTTAAGAGGCACACCACGTTATTGGCTGCACGGTGCAGATACAGACTTTTGTTTACAAGCTCCACAAATCAATAGATTATTAATTATGAGTGTACACAACAAAATCAGGAAAGATTATGTTGTCCACAGGGGGCGCCAAAATCAACGCAGACTGAAAGTTCCCCCTAACAAGCTAGCACTGGTATTTTCATTTACTTTGGCATTGTTCCTCTTGCTCCTTACTAGCCTGACTCAAATATGGTCACTTCTGGTCCCATCTTCAGGCGCCCCCAAATGCAGAATCTATCGTCCCTGTTGCACTGGTTCCAAATTGTTATGAATGCAGCTAGCGACAGCCCCCACTTGTCAGCGGTCGTGGTCGCTGTACCCAAAACCTGAAAAACCTACCCACAAGAAACGAGAGGAAACCTTCCCCGACTCTGAGCTGAGTCAGGGAGCTGCCAGCTTCGTCTGGTGGGTTTCGTTCAGGGTTTTGGGGTGGTGGTGGAGAGCTGGTGTAAGCGAAGGTGGATGTACTATAGTATACTGTCATCTAAACTGGTCTTCTCGGCGTCTCTGCCCGTGACTCCACAGCTACTGAGTTCAGGTGTTCCCAATTCCACAATCAACAGGTCTTCATACAAAGTGACAGGAAATGACGTCTCCTCGTCGACCTGCGTCGCTGGGATTTGTAGTCCTTATTCCCCCAGGGTTCACCCGACAAACGCATATTTTCAACACCACCGCTGCTGCACCGCTGATTAACCAGCTCATCGTTACAGGGAAAAGAAAATGAAGAAAGAAAATGACAATATCAGTAAAGTGTGTGTCATCCTTCACTCTTATCTCCTCACAGGTCAAAAATAAATCTTTACAAAGAAAGAGAAACAGTTACCCAACAACATCCCATAAGCTAATGGGTTACATCATAATAACTACATAGAAGTAACGTATTATCACATGATATATATATTGAGAGCTCAGGGTTGATCATGAACTTCATGAGAAGGGTGTGAACCCTGAACCAGCCCTCTGACCTCCAGCAGAACTATGAATGAAGGCAGGACTAAATATGCAGAAGTTCTTGTACAAAAGGATAAACTTACTTCACTTCTCCAATCTGTGTGAGTCACAGCAGTTCAAGAAACTGAGAGTAGAAGTTGCATCAGGATAAAAAACAAGTGTTAGCAGAAGGTAGTGATGAAATAAAAAGCACAAAAATAAATATCTGATTTCTTTAGAAAAGAGACTAAACACAACTCACCTACTCTCTTCCAGTAGCCAATCCATTATGGACTACAGTGGGGTGACACAGCTCAAGGAAGAACATTTATGATCATTTCCTTGAAGTTATAATCACCATATTAATCATTTTCCACTGCAGACACGGTAGTTTCCTCTGCCTTAGCGTCTCGGTCTGATTGTATTTCCATGAAGAAATGATCATAAATGTTCTTCCTTGAGCTGCGAAACTCCGCTGCACTCAGGAGCACTGCTGGAAGAGAGTAGGTGAGTTTTGTTTAGTCTCTTTGCTAAAGAAATGAGTCAAAGTTAAAAAGATTTTTGGTGGCTAGTACTATGTCTGTGACCCTATATGTCCTGTTGATGAAGTTAGGTGCTGTTCTGAGCATTATTTGTGGCTATAGAGTGGCGTTTTGGTTGAGGTTCGTTTATGGCTCCTCAGACCGCTGTGTATTGCTATCGTGCGGTCATTACTAAAGTTGGAATAACCCTTTAACATTAGTTTTCATGTGTTCCACCTGTACCTGAGTCAGTGAGGCTGCTACAAACACATGTCTAAAAGTAAAAGTGACAGCTGTAGTTGTAAAAGTTCATTATCAGGTCAGTTTTACAGCCGCAGTGAAAACAGGCTGTAGTATTTAGGGAGTGAAGTGTTCCATTCATCTGTGGAAACAAAGGTCAGCGCATTAAACTACCGGACCATAACAGTACACTTCTTAGTCATCAAACTATTAATAATAAACTGGGACTCAGAACTGTGGAAGATTTTACTCTCCCACACACACACACACACACACACACACCTGACCGCTGAGGAGAGCCAAGTGTGTGAATGAGGATCAGGATGGCCGCTGTCACATGACTGCGTTTGTGCGTAATCTCCTTCAGACTGGGAGGTCCGCTTTGAAGCTCGTCTTACACCCTGATCCGGAGTGACACACATGAGGGATACGATGAGGCCGCTTTGTCTCAAGTTCCTCTGAAGGATGTCACCTGAACCTGACTGTGAGACATGATCCATGGAAACTAAAGTACGACTCGTACATTTGTAAGGAAGTAAAGAGGAGAGACCTAAAGTAGTGCTGAGTGTGGATCCACTTTGGATGAATGGGGGATGACATAAAACAAAGACTTCAAATCTTATATCTGATGTGAACCTCTCTCATGACTCACAGTACCGTCATGTGAAACATTTAGAGGTTTAAATCATCATCTGGATGCTTAAATGTTCCCTAATAATCAAAAGTATTTCTAAACATCACAAGGTTTTGTCTCTGCGCCTCATTTTTTACCATTTTAGGGACTTTAAAGTAAGAATTAATCAAATGTGTGATTGTAATCCAGCAGAAAAGGCTCTCTGTAGTTTTCCAGGGTCTCTGGGTCACCGCTCTGTTTGTATACAAACCTCTCGCTGCTGTGCGTAAAGAGTCTCCTCCTCCCCACCACCCACTCGGGACAGCTCAGACTCCACCCCTCCTCCCTCCTCCTCTCTGCCTCTCTTCCCCTCCTCCCTGTAGGTCCAGGCTGATGCAATGCTCATCTTTATAAAAGGGTGAGTCCCTACCCCTCCTCTAGCAGATTTGGGTCTTCCCTCCGAGCGCGCCGCATCTTCTTGGAATTTTTTGATTTTATCTCCGAATAAACGAAATTCTCGTGATTTTGACGCGTGGTTCGGTTCGTTCTTAGACTGTTTTTATTTATTTCTCGAGCTGTTACAGCTGGCGTTTTGACTCAGACTCCGTTTGGTGAAAAGGCGTCTCCAGTCGTTTTTTCTTGAATTTCTTAAAATTGAACCAAATATTCACTCAAGGATCAGACGGATTTTGTGAAGGAATCGTCCGGAACTTTCTGTGTTTTCTTTGTGTCTGAGAGGATTTGACAGGCATCCTGCCATTCTTCACAAGGTAAGACTGCCGGCATCATCTCATTTACATCTGTGACAGAATATGTGGGCGGCTCAACCTATTAGAGATCATTTTAAACCTTTTAAATGGCAACATCTCACATCTTTTAATTCTTCTTTTCCCCACAACTGCTTTAATATCTATCTTTACTCCTAATTTTGAACTTCATTCAATCAAAAGTAGACGCGTTTCCTGGAAGTTTGGACTAATTAGCCAATAATACTTCCATTTCCTTTACTGTCAGCCATGTTATATCTGTGAGTTTCTGTTGTTAAAACCCTGAATTTGCCTCTCGGAGAGGCCTGAGGCTTTCCTTCTCACCAGGTCAGCCCTGCTACAAATAAATAAATAATGCGTGACAGTGATGCTGCAGTGCCGGACTCGTGTCTGGACGTGGATGTGGGCTGTGTCACTGCCACACGGATAATGAAAGATGAGCTGAGAAGGAAAAGTCAGTTCGTACAAAACCTGTTTCTCTGCGTGCGTAATTTGAAAAGCCCGTAATCATAATCTGACGGTGATTCAGAGCGCGAGCCTCTGCGCAAAATGGAAGAGCCATGCCCATAACGAGACAACACGTGCCATTGTTTCCATCGGAGCCGGCCAAGGAAATAATGTCATTAAATGCATCTGGACTGAGGCCTCGCGCTCTCTCTCTTTGTGGATCTACATGCGCGTAAATCTCAGCCGAGAGGAAAAGATCAGATTTGATCAGAATGTCATTTTAGGGAAACAAACGTGGAGTTTGATCTTATTTATAAACCTCTGCTTTAAAATGAACTAACAGCTGATTTAAATGTGGAAAAAGGCGCTGACACTCCCCGATTAAATGACACTTTTCAGATGATTCGTGCGCAAAGAGAGAACGAGTCTACTGCGGCTTTTTGTCATTCAGCGGGGCTGAGGTGATGTCGGGTGGACTCGGGTGCCGGTCTAGTATTTTTCCACTGCCGGTGCGTCACCCCCCCCTCCCATCCACCACCCCCCCTCCTCCTCCTCCTCTCCTCTTTCTCTCTCCCTCCGCCTCTTTTCAAAAGCGAAGTCACATGACTCTAGAGCAGCGCTGCGGCGCGCACCCGCTCACTCCAATATTGATTATTCTGAAGGCAGTGAGAGCGCGCAGAGCAAGAACTACTGAGAAAAAAAAAAAAGAGAGAGTGGCGTAATAAGATGACGCAGGGAGCAGGAATGCGTAAAAACGATCAAAGGTTGATAACTCTCCCTCTGTTTTCTGCTCTGTGATGTCCAGTATGAAACAACCTACTGCCAAAACAGAGATGAGTCGTTTCAACATCTCCCCTGAGGAGGACAGCAGCAGCACCAACAGCAATGACTACACCTACCCAGACTGCCCCAAGAAGGTCCCACTGGGCGGGTGAGTCTGCTTTTCAAACTTGAACCTGCTGAAGACAAAAATAAATCTTAAGAATATAAAGAAGAAACTAAAATTTCTCCTTTTTTCTCTTCCTCTAATAAAGCCAATACTCTGACAACGACGCAGAGAGTCAAAACTTCCTCCCTGAACACAACCTGGGCAAGAAGAAGTATGAGACGGAATATGTAAGAGCTCCTAATCCTCATCCTCATCGACACAAAATCTTCATCTTCATCTTTTCTGTGATGTGGCTCTAACTAACTCTCTTTCCTCCACAGCACCAGGGAAATGCCTCCTTTGGTATGTCTGTCTTCAACCTGGGCAACGCCATCATGGGCAGCGGCATCCTGGGTCTGTCCTACGCCATGGCCAACACTGGAATTGCCCTGTTTGTGTAAGTGACGCCTTCATTCATTCATTCATTCATTTGAAGGTAGAAAACAGACGTTAAAGAAACTGCACATCACCTTCAGATTCGAGTGTTCTTATCTGACAGACGGAGAGTTTTGTTTCATAATGATCCCAAAGCTGCAGGTGGGATTTTGTCTGCTGTGTCAAGGTTGCGTGTCAGGGTGTACTCAGCGCTGCTCTTTTCCCCGCCAGCTGTGTTTTTGTGTGTTCACTCCACAGCCGGCTGACCCTGAGCAGCAGCAGATTACTCACGGGGTTGAAAGTTTACCCCTCGGTACTCGCTGCCGTGTTTGCAGTAGATAAAACCGAAGACGGTTTTCATTTTTGGTGGGAAAAAAAAAAAGCAAATGATGTTTTTTTTAACGCAGCTCCATCTACTGGATATGTGATGCAGCTTTCAATTAGAGAAGCGAAGAAATGTAGATTATGTTCAGAAGATTTAGAGCAGTTTGTTCCTCGAAATCCAATCGAAGAAATGCTGAGGAGGCCAAAGGTTTTACTACTTTCCTCCAATCAGCTTAGGAGCAGTAATCCAGAGCGGAGAGACGGCTATTCAGGGTTTCCTCTGTCAAATAAATGAGAGTAAGTTCCTCTATCTTCTACTTAAGCTGGCAGAAAATGGCAGTTGTAGATGTCACTTCACTAGAGCAGGGAGTGGCATGAGGAAGCAGCTTAGCCGAGCTAATCCTGCTGCATTTGGGCCAGAGTTGCGTAAACAGAGAGTTAACCTACGCTCATGAATGGGCCGCACAGCGTGGCTTACCGACACCGAGGTGAGGCCTACATTCGCAGGAAGTTCAAGGATTGCGACACTCTTGTTTGCTGTCTGGTGCCCGGCAGTCACGGCTGTACATCAGGCGAAGTTACCTTCCTGCAGAAGAACACAACTTGACTCTGCATTAAAGGTCATCTACTGCATATATTTGTCGTCTCAGAGTGTGCGGACTGATAAGATACGATGATGGTCACATGTGCAGGTCTCAGATGTCCTGGAGATTAATGTTCTCCTGGACTTAGAGTCCTGAGATGCACAGTGCTGGCTCTGCAGCCTGGAAAGGTTGCTAAGAGGATCTGTACTGGGAAAACCTTTCGTCCTCTGCAGCCCTGCTGATGCTGCCTGTGCCTCAGCGAAACCTGCAGACCGGTGATGCATTCAAGGTCTGTGCTGATCAGGCAGGGGAAAGCAGGGAAGTGCAGCAGAGTCTCAGGGTAATAAAACTCCTGCACGGTCAGAACTTTAGGAGGATTTTCCAGCGTTTACAAATGTGTGGAGAAGATGTCGATATGTTTGTTTACCACCATCCGGATGGTACACTGGTCATTGATTCACATCAGGCGTCCATCCACACCAGTTTCCAGTTGTTCAAATATCCGTCTCCTCTCTTTGCAGGATCCTTCTCGTGGCCGTCGCCATCTTCTCCTTATATTCTGTCCACTTGCTACTGAAAACCGCCAATGAAGGAGGTGAGTCTGTGGAATTAAAACTCTTCGCCATCGTCATTGTGAAGTCTTCTTTTCTAATTCGACTAAATCTCATTTTTGTCTTCGTCACAGGCGCGCTGGTGTACGAGCAGCTCGGCTACAAAGCCTTCGGGATGCCAGGAAAGCTCGCCGCTTCCTGCTCGATCACCATGCAGAACATTGGAGGTGAGTGGAACATTTTTAGCAACAAACACACTTTATTTTTACGTGTTATGTAACAGAAATCAAACTACGTCTCTATAAATACCCTCCATGAGTAAAACACCGTCTTTAAACTAAAAAAAAGAAGAAATCTTGGATAGAAACGAGCGTGTCTGTGCGTCTGTTAGTTATTGGAAGTTGGAGAAGCTTCCAGTAAAACTTGAGTCACTCCACGAGCATGTGTTACATTTTTTCTTCTCCCTCTGGAAAAAGTCAAACTTAGACATCAGTGTGTTTCGTAATGGAGTTCCCTTTACGGACACGACTCTGGAAAAAACTCTAAACGCAGCTTCTGTCTCCACAGCCATGTCCAGCTACCTCTACATCGTCAAATACGAGCTGCCCATCGTCATCCAGGCTTTTACTGGATCCAGTAACGGGTGAGTTCCTGAATATTTTACTGCTTCCCCAAAAAAAACAGGCCCTGAAAGAGTCAAACAAAGGTGTCTCTGTACACATCCCCAACAGTCAGACTGGTTTTTGAAGGCGGCTGGTCTTTAAAGGAGCCCTGGAGGAGTTTCTTGTAAACAAACAAAAGCTTTATTTACAGAACATTAAACACATTACACAATCTCCCAAACAGAACAGGCAGCTAACCAACAGGATGCTCCGATTAGAGACGCATAATAAGCAACGCTTCATGTTTGTCGAGAAGGAAAACGGACTTAAAGGAACTTTTGTTTTGGAGCTATTTCATCGCCCCCTGTAGACAAAAGTGTGTACCTCTTATCCGGCCAACTGTATAAGAAATGGTGGCTCCGGCTAACTTAATAATAATAATCATAAATTTTATTTATAACGCGCTTTTACAGGTGCTCAAAGACGCCTTACGAAGAAAAAAAAGAGAGTAAAATGAAAAAACACAATTTAAGTTACGGAAAACCAACGATGTAAAAGGATAAAAAAGACACAATATGAGAAAACAGCTCACAGGTTAAAAGCCATTTTAAAGGTGTGTTTAAAAAGGTGTGTTTTTAAAAGTGTGGGGGTCTGTACAGTCTAGGACCGAGAAGGCTCTGTCCCCCCAAGTTCGGTGCTCCCTGACTTGATGCTAATTATTTAAAAACTCAGCGTTTTGTTACTAAAATACAAGTTAGAAAAAGAAATGGACCCATGAGCTGTTAAATGTTTCCTATACGAGGCTGAAAACATGTTAAATTTGCTCTCTGCTCTTATCGGCTCTCTGCAGCTTTTAGAACAAGCCCCAAGTGGACATTTGAGGAACTGCAGTATTTGTTTTAATCGTGATCTAAATCTGTCAGATTTACGTCAAAAACAGCTGATCAGATATTAGTATCGGTGAAAATCTACATTCAAATGATGCGCTTGAATGAGAGGTTGCTTCAAGTCCGGTCTCTCTGCATTATCTGTCATTTTTGCTGGATTTTGTTCATATTTTTGTACGACTCTTCTGTGAATAGTAGATGACTTTTAGAGACGACAGACAACTGAATCGTCTGTTCTTCCTATTCTTCTTATTCTTAGTAACTGAGGTCGACCAAGACGGTGAATAAACAGTGAAGATAGAAAGTTCTGTGTTTGTATTTTTATTCTAGTTAGAAATAAATGGAAACAGACGTTTGAGATGAGGTGTAGAGAGAAGGACAGGAGCGACAGCTGCGGAGGCACTTGAGGTGAAGAGGCACACGCAGCAAAATGGCTGCTGGTTGTTTTTCAAGTGTCTTGAGGAGCGACGGAGGAAGTGTGTGTGTGTGTGTGTGGAGGGGTTATGTGTGTGTGTGTGTTTGTGGACAGTGCCGAGTCCTTTTCAAAGAGCCCTTTTAGGAGACGCAGCCGCTGGTGCCGCATCGAGACAGAGCCCTGGATGAGCTCACCGCGACCTCGCCTCTAGTTTTAAAAATTGATGCAGTTCTCCTCCTCCTCCTCCTCCTCCTCCTCCTCCTCCTCCTCAGTGCCGCTTTTGTTGCGTCTGTTTGTGAGGGCGATGCAGTCAGAGAGACGCTGGTGAAGACACGTCAGAGAGGGAGATGAAGATTTAGATCAAAAGACATGAAAGCAGATTTATATGATGTTTGTGCGAAGAGGAGTCGGTGATGGAAACTCAGCGTGTCAGCTGTCTGATGGTGTGTGTGATCAAAGTTAATGTACAGAAGTGAAGAGAAAACAAACAGAGAGGAGTTTTTATCCTGCTATGAAACAGACTGAAATTATTCACTGCATGCTTTAAAAACATCCAGAGAAATGATAAATCGTTTTGTCCACAGGGGGCGCCAAATTAGACACTATCTTAAAGTTCCTTACTGCAGCTTTAAAGTAGATGACAACAATCGGAGTGCACACTTTAATTTAGATTTACGCTTTAATGCCTGAAAACACAAATTATGGCCAGAAAATTCTCATTTTTTTGGCGCTGAAATATTTATTTTACTTCCTACTGAAAACCAAAACAATCGAAATCAATATTTATTTATCTCGTTTGACACATTAGATGTTTTTGGAAACTGATAAACCACAAGAGGACATTTTTATCATTTATCAGACTGTTTTTTTAGTAATTTGTAAAAGTCTAACGGGTTATTTTTTTTCTTGTCTTGCAGAGAATGGTACACAAACGGAGACTACCTGGTCCTGATCGTGTCGCTCGTCATTATCCTGCCCCTGTCGCTGCTAAGAAACTTGGGTAAGTAGTGTGTGTGTGAGCGAGTGAGTGTGTGTGTGTGTGTGTGTGTGTGTGTGTGTGTGTGTGTGTGTGAGATGTATTTCTATTTAAGGGTGTTTGAGGATTAGTAGTTCGTGCATGACTGCGTGCATGACCCAAAAAGTATATAAAAGCCTAAAATAGAAACCCAGGGTCTCATGTTTGTGTTTGGCTCCTCCCCCCTCAGGTTACCTTGGTTACACCAGTGGTCTGTCTCTGCTCTGCATGGTGTTCTTTCTGATTGTGGTGAGTAAAACTCTCCTGTTTCCTCATTAGTCACTCACCAGATGAGTGTTAGTCAGACAACAAAACAAACGTCTGAATCTGAAGATGTCCGATCACGTTTGAGCGTCAGTCTTCAGGCGTGAATTTAAAGATCACAGATGTTAGGATTGACTGATTATCGGCTCTCGTCACCCTGCAGGTGATCATCAAGAAGTTCCAGATCCCGTGCCCTCTGCCGGAGGACGTCGACGCCCTGAGCGAAAACATCAGCAAAATCCTGAACACCTCTCTGTCCCAGCTGAACACCACCGCCGTGGATTACAGCGAGGACGCCTGCACGCCGAAATACTTTGTCTTCAACTCTCAGGTAAAACTCTCTGAACCAACAAAAGAAGAATCAAACGAACTTTAGCGTCTTTATTCGGGACTAACTCAGGATTCGTTTTCCTTCTCCAGACCGTTTACGCCGTTCCCATCCTGACCTTCGCTTTCGTTTGCCACCCGGCGATCCTTCCCATGTACGAGGAGCTCAAAGAGTGAGTGCGCTCTCCTTTTCTCACCAAACCACAAACCGCAACTGTTTCCTTTTTATAAAGAACGGAAACTAAATGTCACGTCTTCTTTTCCCCCCACATGAACAGCCGCTCCCGCAGCAAAATGCAAGGTGTCGCTAACGTGTCCTTCCTGGCCATGTTCGTCATGTACCTGCTGGCCGCTCTCTTTGGATATCTGACCTTCAACGGTGAGCATTCTTCTTCAAAAGTTGAATTTTCTCCGGTTTGGTTTACGGCCAGTCGATGTCCTTTGGTGTCAGGTCAGATCAATCATTTAAGAAGCTTCCGGGTTCCAAATTAAACACCCCTCCTGGAACAAAGTGCGCAGATCCGTTATGTAACACTGCGAACAAAACCACCTGCTGCAGCCGACCAGCGCGGCACCACGTTAATGTTTGTGTTTGTCGTTGGGGGGGACGTTCCAGGAACGTTATACAAGAGCGAGATAGTGAGTCCGTGACGCCGTCGTATCCGGATTAAACCAGATCTGGTGTTGTGTTTGGAGGAGATTGAGAAATCGACATCGTGTTTGTTCTGACCTACTTGGCGTAGAGATAAAACAAACAGATCCTTTAATGATGATTTCCTTTTTCTTTCTCTACAGTCCACGTCGAACCCGAGCTGCTGCACACTTACTCCAAAGTCTACAAGTCCGATGTGATCCTGCTGATCGTCCGTCTGGCCGTGCTCGCTGCCGTCACGCTCACCGTCCCCGTGGTGCTCTTCCCTGTAAGTGATCGAACTCACTCCTGATCAGTCCTGTCCAAAGATTTAAGCCGATCACGTTGGATAACCTCTTTTTTTCGCCTTCCTGTAGATCCGTACCTCTGTCAACCAGCTCCTGTGCGCCTCGAAGGAATTCAGCTGGATCCGCCACACCATCATCACCGTCGTCCTGCTGGCCGGCACCAACGTCCTGGTCATCTTTGTGCCCACCATCAGGGACATCTTTGGCTTCATCGGTGGGTGGATCTTCGTGGATTAACTCGCCATCAACAGCGTCTGATTTGAACGCGTCTATAACCCGAACTTTCTCTCTCTTTTATCAGGTGCTTCTGCTGCTGCTATGCTCATCTTCATCCTGCCCTCGGCTTTCTACATCAAGCTGGTCAAGAAGGAGTCCATGAGGTCCGTGCAGAAGATTGGGGTAAGGAATGACTTCTTGAATCTTCAAACACGATGAACGGTGTTGATTTTCCAGTCGACTAAACGTGACGTCTTCCTCCTCCCCTCTAGGCGACCGCTTTCCTGCTGTGTGGTTTCATCGTCATGATCGGCAGCATGAGCCTCATCATCCTGGACTGGATACACAACGCCACCTCCGGGTCAGACGCACACGCCGACGGTCACTAAAAGCCCCGCCTCTGCTGCTGCTGCGTCCCGGACTGCTACAACCAACGAAGATCGTGAAACCAAGAAAAACACAAGAACTCACTTGATGCTCGGCTTTAACGTCCTGAGCGACAAACCATGCCATTCCAAGAGAATGTATCTGAACTTTGTACAGTATGCTGTTATAGACCACAAAGATGGTGTTTGACTTCTTTTCTCTCTTTTTATCGTAACTTTTTTTCGCGCGTTTTTATTTTTTTATGTTCTTTCGTAGTGACGGTACAGCTTAAAACAAATATTTGAAGGTGCCTCAATCGTAGAAGAAGAAGTAGAGTTGGGAGAGCTCGGCGTGACGAAACCCCGCAAGAGGAAAGATCGGCAAAAAGACTTGAACGTTTCATCCTCCTCAAAGATAAGGACACTTGAGTTCCTTCCAGCTTTTTTTCGTTTTTCGTTCTTCCTTTTTTACTTTGCCAAAAACGTATTTGTAAAGCATCTTTGTATATTTAAAAGCACTTACTGTTCAGCACACGTGTGAAGAAAAAAAAACAGATTGTCAGTTTTCACAGGCGAGGCCGACCGCGCCGCCTTCTCAGTATTCGTACCGAGGTTTCGCCACCTTGCTTATAGTGTCAGCTTTTCCTTGTTAAACGTAGTGAAAAAACAACAGAACCTGCCTTTTTGAACCCGACACTGGGAGCTGCAGAGTTCCTCTCAAAGAGGACTCTCCTGAAACTGTATTTACTCTTTATAACCTGCTGAAGAAGATCTCGATGGGATAGCGCGCGCAGCGACGACACTACTGCTTCGAGAGTTTCGCCTCCCCCCTCCAGGGCCGTGGGAAACTTAAAGATTTTTTCTTTATGGGAGAATACTTTGAATCTGACCACATGCAGTGGTTGTAATGTACCTGTTAAACTTGCAGAAACTGAAAACTTAGACGTCAGGTGTGCTCTTAGACGCCCGTCAAACCAAACGGCAACGGAGAAAAGCGACGGAGGGCGTCTGTCACAGTGTTTTGAGTGTTTTTACATGTGGTCGCGCAGTTTCACGACGAAGAACGCGTTCACTCGCTCGCTCACTCGGTGACGAGGCGTGAACCGTTCATCTTGACGGTGTCACTGTGCTTCCAACACTAACTCAACATGTCACCAAACTGTTATTGTCCAACATCTATTTATGGAAGATCGTGAAATCAATGTAATTTAATCTATTTTACTATATTTATATAATATTGTATGTATATATACGTGTATATATATCTATTGAGTTGACCTGTATATATGCTTTGTTTGTTTTTTTTTTACAATAATGCATTGGAGCTGTAAAACAAAACCAACCCAAGCTGGTGAATTTGTGATATTGAAATCGGCTCCGGCACACTGGAGCTTCAGCTGTTCATCTCTGCTAAGACTGACTGAATTGTCCTACTGTGTTGATTCTGTGAGATCCGTGTTACATGTGGAAGCCACTGACTCAGCGGCAGCAGTCTCGTCTTCTTTTTTGGCCCCTGAACACACAAACCGGATCAGCGAAATGGTCTTGATAACGCACACATGTGGGTTGGAGAGTACGTCAGCCATCTCTTGACCTCAGGAGCAAAGAGGACTTTTGCCCGCCAGTGTTACACTCTTGTTTCAATGAAACACTATGTATATTGTGTAAATAATGTCCAAATAAAATCAAAGATAATCTATATAGCGTAGACTCTTGGTGGTCATTCATGTGTCCGGTCTGACTAGGGGGCGTAATTGATCTTGAAATATAAATCTACTTGGAACAATTATATCTGGCCCACAAGATCATCTCATATTTGTATTATTACTGGCCCACCAGTATGAAGTCTATAATAAACCATGAAAATCTCGGAAATTAAAGAGTAAGGAAGATTTGATAAACAGTCAAGAATGTGGGGGAAGAAATATTTCATGTTTTCAATTTTGCATTTCAAGATTACGAGTCAAACATGATTGTAATTTTTATTTCATGCTTTGATTTAGTTCAACTCAGTATTTAGACATGTGTCATTTTTATATTTAGATTCCAGTTTTATATTTTAAGTCATATTTTGACCTTTTAAACCCCATTTCAACGTTCTCTTTATGTATTTGCTCTTTAAAAGCATTATTTTTCTATTTTTAATATCACGCTCTGATCTTTTGAACTCATAAATAAAATTAGAATAAAAATTAAAATATTTTTTTCTATCCTAGATTGCCTTTAAACTTATATATATATATATATTTTTTTAAATTTTGATCTATAATCGTTACTGTTTTTGTTTTGCATATTTTTTGAAAAAGAGGTTGACAGTTTCGGTGAAATGTTGACCCTGTTTGGCCCTCAGGTTAGACCTAAATCCAGATTATGACCCTTGCTGTGGTCGAGTTTGACACCCCTGAGTCTAATTTCTAGATACAGTATCTTTGTCAGGGGCCCCTCTCAGAATAATCCTGACTATGTTTCCCTAAAGAAGGAGCAAAATCAGACTTCCTGTTGAGGCCTCGTGATCTTGTTTGTGAAGTCGTCCCTCTTCAGTTTGTTTATGTGGTTATACATTATACAGGTTACATTCTACAGACACTAAATGAGTTTCTACCTGGTCCTGGTCCAAACTAGTCACAGTTTATCAGTGTATCTTTGTTAACAATAACTGACCACTAGATGGCACTGTTTACACAGAAAAAAAACAGAGGCAAGATGGACGTAAGAGGAACATTATCAGAATAGTTCTTATAGTTTTGGATATAAGGATGCTGTCTTGATCTTGATTAAGTTATTTTTATTCTATTATATTTTATTCTACTTAATCTGCATGAAAAAGTCACATGGTTTACGAGAGCACGAGGCTAAAACTGATCATTTCAAATATTTTTTCAGATTTATAATTCACCTCAACGGCGCCTCAGATTAAAACATCCAGCACAGAACTTTAAAAGTGTGTTTTGAATAATAATTATTCATTCATATTAAGCATTAATAATTAAATGCAACACTTACCTGTTGATCAGTCTCTGATTTTAGATTCTTTTTCATGTTAAATCGTGTTAGTTGAAGCTCCAGTGAGGAGTTTTATGATGTTAATGAAACAGACTGAAATTCAAACTTATGCCTCTAAATAATTAACGCCAAAATTATTCTTTTAAATTTTTTTCAGCCTTTTACTCTCTTTATAGTCCCATAGTTTTGATTTTATTAACTGTACTTTGATTTATTTATAATCTGAGAGGGGACTTAAAGCAGTAGCAGAGATGTACAACTTTAATAAATTTTTGTTTGTGGAGTAAAGTTGTGGAACAGATTAGGAGTGGAGCTCATGTGTTGTCCGAGCATGACCCAGTTAAAAAAGCGGTACAAGAACATGATTCTCACCAGGTACAGGAAGGAAGAGGAGTATTAACTATCGGTGTATTCATAAATATTTAATGTACTTATTTATTCAATTTATGTTGCATTTTTTTGTGAATATGATTTCATTTTGCTGGAGACAGACAGATATTATTGAGTTAAGGAGAAGGGGTAGGTTTAAAATAAGCATAATGCTTTTTCGGACATTTTGGGTTCTTATTATCATTATTATTGTTGTTTTGAATACTCACTGGTTATGTTTGTTTCCAGTTGACTTTTGCATGCACGTTTGAAAAAAAATAAAGTGAAATGAGGAATGAACATTTTCAGATGTTTAAATATTTGTTTAGTTCGGTTGCTAGATCGTCATTTTTGTCATCTGAATGTGCTACGAGGAGTAATCTGTGAAATATTCAACAGCTTAATTGCCTCTACTTTAAATGACATGAGGCCTCAGCTTAGACCTCATTTTTCTGGTCAACACTGCCCCCTAGTGGTCAGTTTGACCAGTTCAACAAAGACGAGGATGAGGAATCAACCCCAATAATCGAAATTGGGATTCAAAGCTGAACCTCCTTATTTTAACAAATGACCTTTGAGGCAGCAGCTGACAAACTGCGATATAACACACTTAGAAGAGGTCCGTTAAATATCTGTAGTTGTTTGATGTTCATCACCATGGAAACAAAGATGGAGACAATAGACACGCCTCCGCCTCCATCCGAATCCTCTTACAAACACACGGAGCAGATCAGGAAGCAGCTAATTTATTTCACTACTCTCTGGACACTTTGCAACGTTCATGTTCACCCATGGACATTTTTATTACACATTCAGGCAGGGGGTGGGGTCAATCTCTGGAGATCTGCCCCCCGGGACCTGTGCCTTACATAACACACTCACTGCCGATTGGTCCTGCGTCTCCTCGACCAATCAGGGCCCTGATTACAATCACACTCACCAGATTTCAGCCCTTTTATCGGGCCACATACAGTTAATAAAGGCAATGCATTGATTTTTAAACTAGGCTTTCATCTGAAATATTAGACTTTAAAGAAGAAAAAAAAAGACAATATTCAGTTAAGAAGCTACATGATCAGGACGCCATCGAAGCGGCGTCCTCGGAGAGGCTCTCCACTACATGAGCTGTCCTTATTCACTGAGCGTTGCATCTTTATTATCAACAGTCCCACCCTCCCCTCCCCACCCCCACGCTCCCCTGCCCTCATTACAGTAGTTCCCCAAGTCACAAGGTCTATGCAAAATAAAGGGCTCTTGCATTACAATTTCTGATTGAGTAATTATTTTTCTAACAAAATATGAAAATCTCTAGAAAAAAATCTTCATTCAGTAAAAGGTAGATATTAAAAAAGAAAACCTCGGCTCTCCGTCCTCTTTCAGCGAGGAGGCCGAATTCCAGCTTGAGGAAATTGCACTTGAGCAGCTGAATGGGTCTGTGAGGGCATCGCCGCGCCGACAGCAGGGTGGGGGGTTCATTTCTTGCGGGCGTGCTTGTATTTGTCCACGTAGGCTTTCACCAGGTTAGCGACTTTACTGGCGTTCACTTCGCCACTCTTGCTGTGACACACCTGAGGGAAAAAAACAACACAACAGGTGTGAAGCGGCTCGTTGGATTCATCTGAAATTTCAGGCTGTTTCCCAGATCACCGACTGAATTCTCACCAGAAATGTGCAGGAGGTTCTCGTGATACATATCTCAACTTTGTGCACACTGATCCTCTACCGTTTATCCTTTTCTTACAATGCAGAATTAATCTTGCATATCGACTACGCATGAGAAGATTAACCGATACGTATCGATACGCGGTCACGCAAGAGTGAATGCAGTTTTGTTAGCACAGTGAGATGTATCGTCGCATCGTCGTGTATTATATATTTGTATCGGTACAATCCGATCAGTTTAATACTTAACTTATGTTACCAAACTGTTTTGAAGACATAATTTCTTTGGACTTGCAGGTGTACACTACGAACGAAAGTATCAGCTTCGCGGATGAATACTGGCAGTGATTAAGGTAAACAAAGATGTCAGACGCTGAGCAAATTTACCTCCTCTGAGTTGTATATCTAACGTTTGGCAACAAGAAAGACGGACGACTTGACCAGACAGATTTGCAAACTGTTCCGCTGTGTCTGCTGTAAAATACAGACAGTACGACTAACCTGGTAAGTCGGCGCTGCAGTGTTGTCGTGGAGGGGTCTGCTAGCGCCCCCGCTTCCGCTGCTTCCAGCTCGGATTCGCCGACAGCTCCAAAAGTGGTGAACGAAGTATTGCAAAATTCTTCCACGCCCCGCATGCTAATAACTTTAACATGCTTAATGGCAACAACGTACGCTAGGGCTGGGTGATAAACTTGAAATTTACCGATACCGAAATTTACGACAATAACCGACGTCGTAAATAAATAAATAAAAGTTGGTTTTGGATGTGTGCAGGTAGACTGTGGTCTCTGTCCTACGTCAGAGACGTGACTCCACCTCATCCAGTCCGTAAGAAAGAGGGAAAGACAGGTGAGGAGATTCAAAAGTTGTAGCGGCTGAAGTAGACGAAGTTAATGTGGGAGGGGGTGAGCAGCTTGTGGAGTAGTTATCGTCTATTTATCGTTATGAAGGTGAACTCATCAATATATCGTGATATTGATTTGAGGCCATATCGCCCAGCCTTATTTAGCCTCACAGTGTAACAGAAAACGAACGTTTCAAACATCTCCTCCGTGTCTTAGAGCCTTGTTTTAAAATACCAAACCGGAAGCAATATTCTACGAAAAGCAGATCCCTTCCCTCTATGACAAAGTTAGAAGATAGATATGTAAGTCACTGAGCAAAGCCCAAAGAGAAGCTCTGCATCGTGGTTTGAGTCTGAATCGTATCATATTGCATCATATAACGCCACACATGTATTTTTATATATATCAGATCAGACACATCGTATTGAGATGTGTATCGTTTTGGTAATACACCTCAGATTCCCAACCCTAGTATGTACATATCAGGGTGTCGATACTTTTAGCAAAGTAAAACACAAACAGTAAGAGATGACCTTGAGCCCCCTTTTGAAGCTCCTGAAAATTTCCAGATTTTACCTGGATGAGCCGGACATCACCTGGAATAAGTCCTGCTAACCCCTCAGTATCATTGTGGGGTTAAATCCAGGTGAGTTCATGAGATAATTGAGCAGAAAATCTTCTGTATAATTCTCTGCAAGGGGTGGAGGCCCTGAAATTTCCCAGAGCGCGTCTGGAGAAGGCTTTATAGACGTTTCAGATAAGAAGAGTGGGATAGAAAATAATAAAAACCTGCAGAGACTAGAGTCCTGCACAGCTGCCCCACATGCATGTCCAGAGTTTCACTCTCTTCAGCTTAAATCTTAAAGAGTCTTTTAACGCGTTTCCTGGAGCGAACACGTCCAGATCAGATCATGGACAATATACACTTATCTGCACATTACATTATGCTATTTCTGTACATTGACTGTATTTATTCTGTCAACAGGAATCTCAGAACTGTGCACTTTATATTTCATACTGTTACATATTTACACCTATGCACATCCGTACCATATTTATCCTGTCAAAAGAATCTCAGGTCCACACGTTTACATTGTATATACTTCATATTAATCTAGTTTCATATTTTTCTATATTTTTTATCTATCTTTTTATAATGTCTTGCACTGATTTGGGTGGCTTTAATCTCATTGTACTGCGTATAATGACAATAAAAGGCATTCTGATTCTGATCAGATCTAAAAGCAACGGTTCTCGTCTAATCCTCTAAAGTCATCCTTCCTATTAAGAAAAAATTGCTTTAAATCACGAATCTCCTGTTTGAAAAGTTGTTTCTAACAGGAGATCTGCTGCAGTATCCCTATAAAACCGCTCAGATGTACGAACAGATCACTAACAGGTAAGCAGCGGACGCTCGTGTGTTCTTACCTTCTCCACCGCTTTGCGGACGATCTCCTTGTACTCGTCCTTCGTGATTTCCTTCCTTTGGTAAAAGGGTTTGATGGCTGTCTTCACTTCATTTATAGCTTTCTCTTGAATCTGTTGTTTCTAAACCAAGAGGAAAAGTTCATCCAGATTAAAATTATTGATCGAAAACTGACGGATCAGTTCAGACGAGGCGATGGCGGTTTACCTTCTCCTTTTTGGAGCTGTCAGCTTGGGCCTTATTATGCTGGCTGGGCTGAGTAGTGGAGGATGGCAGCACCTGGCTGGGTGCTGGATGGCCCTGGGTCACCACGGCAACACCAGGTTTGGTTGGGGTGGGAAGAAGGGCAGGTTTCCCATAAGCCGCCATTGTGCTCGCCATCTGCGGAAAAGGGTATTAGTCAGAAAAACTCCCCACAGGAGCTTTAAGTAACTTTAAAAAAGTATCTGGACTGTACCTGCGTCATGTGACCGTCAGGCTGAGCTGCAGCTGTCTGACTGCCTTGCTGCATGGGTGGAGGAGGTGGGGGAGGAGGAGGAAGGCCCTGAGCACCTACGGCAGGGACCTGGAGCAGCGGGACAGCCGGGTGGAGGTGCACGGGGACCTGAGGAGGCATGGCGTACGGGGCGGCAGGCTGCAAGCTGACGGGCAGGGCTCCACGCGGTCCCTGCATCGGGTAGTGATGGTGGAGGACGTTCAGCTGAGGGGGAATCACGTTCATCACAGGGACCGGCGCGTTACCTGGGACCACCTGGGGAGGGGGGTCGCTTTTAGGGGGATCTGAGGGACAAGAAAAACAAAAATGAGATTTGGCTCATGAAGAGGAAGAAGAAGAAGAAGAAGAAGAAGAAGAAGAAGAAGAAGAAGAAGAAGAAGAAACGGAGGAGGTCGTTACCTGCTGTCGCTGCCGGCTGCTCCTCCTCTTGTCGGTTCCAGGCTCCTGCTCCTCCTCTTTCCCTCTTGGAGTAATAATCCTGAACGTCTGCAGGTAGAGTCCTCCTGACGGCCCAGCTGGATGCAGAAGACCAGCCTGATCGGTCCACCATGGAGTCTCCTGACTCCGCCTCCTTCCTGCGTCCTCCGCCTCGGTTCTCGTTGAAGCGGCTGTACGCGTCGTTCCCTGAATTGTTGCCTGTACCTGAGAAGTTGTTTCTGGGCTGCCAGCGGTTGTCGGCTGATTCCTCCTGCTGATTGTAAAAACCACGGACGTTGCTGCCGCCGCCGCTCCCCCTCCCTGCCCCACGACCGCGGTCGAACCCTCCACGCCCGCCGCGCCCCCGAGAGTCCCCTCTGTTCCCGCCGCTATTGCGATTATCTTCCCAGCGTGAGCCGCCGCTGAAGCCAAAGTCCCGGTTCCTGCCGTCAGCTTCACTGCGGCTCTTTTCGGTGACCCAGTCCGGATTCTCCGACCAGCCTTGGCGATCAGGAGAACCTTCTGTAGGGACCCCGTTCTCAAAGCGTCCAGCGCCTCCATGCTGCCTCCGCCCCTCACTACCTGATCCACTTCCCTGTCCGGACCTCCAGCCGCTCCTCCGCTCCTTCCTTTGGGGGGACTGCTCTCTTGAAGACGGCCGCTCCGGGCTGGGACCTCGTCTGTGGGACCTCGTTCTTGATCGTGACCTGGAGCGAGATCGTGACCTCGACCTGGAGCGGCTCCTCGACCTCCTCCGCCTCCTCTCTCGACTCCGCTCTCTCCTCGAATAGTCTCTCTCGGCGTCTCTGTCCTTGTCTCGATCTCTACTGCGAGCACGGGAGGAGCGGCTCGATGGCGGGCTGCCGTCCCGCTCTCTGGACCGTGAGCGAGAGCGCCTGGACGAGTCTCTCTTGGAGTCCCTCTTGGGCGACCAGGTGGAGGTCGGGGAGTGGAAGCGAGATCGCCTCTGCCTGCCATTCTTCCTCTCTGGGCTCCTCTCTCGCTCTGATTGGTTCCTGTCGCTCTCGTCCTTGGCTTCTTGGCTCGTGGACACGGTCGGTTCAGCAGGAACCGGGTCACTGATCTCTTTCGGCGGTTCCTCCACAGCGCCAGCGTCGATACCGAAGTCGCTGTTGGGTGAACTGCAGTCCATGGGGACCTCTTGAGTATCATCGTTGGATGGACTGTCATCCTTAGCTCCTCCCACTGAGCTGTCAGCCGCCGTCGGCTCCTCTTCTGGGGGTGTTTTCGACCCGGCGTCCACAGCGGCGTTCGTTTCTGGGACTGAGTCGTCATTGTCGGACTCTTCAGCAGGAGGTGAAGGCGGTTCTGGAGAGTCCTCGGCTCTCACTTCCTTCACGGACTCTTCATTGTTCAAATCTTCCGTCTCCGCACAAACCTCCATGTCGTCTTCCTGCTCCGACTGCTCGTCGCTCTGCGGGGACCTCAGGGTCTCCGTCTGAGCGTTCTGAGAGCCGGGGGGTGACGGTGAAACGCCTTCATCATCATCAGACTCCTTCTCCACGGGGGAATCGGGACTTCCCGGCTCTTCCACGTCCTCCCGGTGGTTGACCTCGGAGTCGGTAAGATCCGGGCTGTGAGGAGCAGAGAGGTCGCTGTCTCCATCGTTTGGTTTCTGTTCGTGATCGTTTGATTGTTCCTGAGTTTCATCGCTGTCCTGTGTCACATCGTTGCTCAAAGCCTCGTCAGCGGAGACGTCCTGGTCTTCATCGGCGCTCTCTTTAGCCTGCTCCTGCTCGGTTTTATCTTCTTCCTCTTCCTCCTTCTCTGCGCTCTCATCCCTCTCAGCCTCTTCCTCCTCCTCCTCCTCGCTCGCCGCAGGGCTGCTCAGGACTTCAGGAGACTTCTTCTTCCTCGCTGGTGTTTTCCGTTTCCCGCTCGCCTTCCGGTTCGTTACCTGTCTGCCTTTCCTCTTGGCCGGCGCTTGAGAAGCTCGACCCTGCTTGGCGGGCGGGCCGGGAGACGAGTCAGAGTCTGACGACATGGACTTTGGTGGCGATGGATCGGACGCAGGCGCCTCCTCTTGAGCTTTGCTGTTACGTCCTGATCTCCTGGACGGTTTAGTCTCGGGCTCTTTGGTGGGAGCTTTGGAGGTGGAACCTCGGCCGCCTCTCTTCTCTCCTCCTTTGGGACATGTGATGGCGCAGATGACACCCTGAAAGACTGTGAGAGAGGAGCGTTACGAATCATAACAAAGAATCATAACAAAGCAGACGTCAAATGTTTGAATTAAAGGGATATTCCGGCGTAAAAATAATTTAGGGTCAAACACACCCCAACACCGAGTTAGACACCCCCTCGAGAGATGAATGTTGCCGACTGCTTGCTTCTCTAGTTATACCAACTTTAGTAATGACCGCAGATAGCAATACACAGCGGTCTGAGGAGCCATAAACAAACCTCGACCAAAACGCCACTCTATATCCACAAATAATGCTCAGAACAGCACCTAACTTCATCAACAGGACATATAGGGTCACAGACATAGTACTAGACACCAAACATCTTTTTAACTTTGACACATTTCTTTAGCAAAGAGACTAAACACAACTCACCTACTCTCTTCCAGCAGACGCTTGTTTGTAGGGAGACCTCAGGCCAGTCCATTACGGACTACAGCGGGGTGCCGCAGCTCAAGGAAGAACATTTATGATCATTACTTTATCATTTCCTTGAAGTTATAATCACCATATTAATCATTTTCACTGCAGACGCGGTAGTTCTTCTGCCTTAGCGTCTCGGTCTGATCGCATCTCCATGAAGAAATGATCATAAATGTTCTTCCTTGAGCTACGAAACTCCGCTGCAGTCGATGGACTTGCCCGGAGGTCTCCATGCAAACAAGCGGCTGCTGAAAGGGAGTAGGTGAGTTGTGTTTAGTCTCTTTGCTAAAGAAAGTTAAAAAGAAAGTTAAAAAGATGTTTGGTGTCTAGTACTATAGCTGTGACCCTATATGTCCTGTTGATGAAGTTAGGTGCTGTTCTGAACATTATTTGTGGCTATAGAGTGGCGTTTTGGTTGAGGTTTGTTTATGGCTCCTCAGACTGCTGTGTATTGCTATCGTGCGGTCGTTACTAAAGTTGGTATAACTAGAGAAGCAAGCGCTCAGTAACATTCATCTGTCAGGGGGTGTCTAACTTGGTGTCATGGTGTGTTTGACCCTAAATTAATTTTACACCGGTATATCCCTTTAAGGCTGAGTTAGTTTGGTGAAGAAAACAGGTGCAAAATAAAGCCGTTAATGGACACAGGCCCTTCGTGACCCATTTAAGTTCTCATTCAAAAACACTTCAAACCCAGGACCTGTCAGAGGACACGTACCGAAATGACCAGGGCTCAACGGTGAAGAAGAGGTAAAGGGAGACGAGGGGATCCCAAATGGAAACGGACCGCGGGTCCAACCAGCAGGATGAAAACTCGGCCTGTAGGACAAAACAACCGAAGCAAAAGAGCAGGTTCACAGTAGACAGTCCACTTATCTGATACTGGACAACAGGAGCCTGATCAAACCGTCACCGAAGATCAGATTGAGTACCTTGAGATGCCGTTCGCAGGGATGGCGGCGGCAGGAGAAAGCCACGGGCAGTGCTGCGTCTGGGGTCTGCACGCTTTGAACAGGGTGTCATACTGCATGTCTCCTTGGATCCACACCGGCTCTGCACTGCAGGAGGAGGAGGAGAAGGAGGAGAAAAGGGTTTAGGAGGTTTTCCAAATCCTTGCATTATTGGTCAGACCAGAAAGCAACACTTACACGTCCTGAACGGACGTCGTGGTCAGTGCGACGTCACAGGAGGGCGACCAAACGCAGCACTCTGTTCCCCTCACCTGGAGAGCAAACGACGAACACCAGTGAGACGAACATTCAGATTACATGTAAATATGGTTAAGGTGTAATGAGAAGAAACTTTTGTAAAGACCTTTTTCCTGCTGAGTGAGGACGGGTCTTCATCGTTACCTGGAGAGGACAGTGACAGACTGTTATCAACGTTTAAAGTTTAAGAGTCACGCCACGAATTTCTGAAGGAAAAAGTTTCACATACATTTCCTCACAAGTCCTTTTGTCTTGTTATCCGCCGTCCTCTCCACTTTCTGCCGTCTTAATCTTCTGACAGACTTACTTCTGAAAACAAACCTCAGTTCAACTCAAAATCAACAGTTCCTGAAAAAGTTCACCCGAGAACCGCTGACTCAGACTTTTACCCGTCAGTATGATCGAGGCGCAAACTTTTGGACGTCCAGTTTGACACTTTCTCTTAGGGCTGGGTGATATGGCCTCAAATCAATATCACAATATATTGATCAGTTCACCTTGATAATGATAAATAGACGATAACTACTCCACAAGCTGCTCACCCCCTCCCACATTAACTTCGTCTACTTCAGCCGCTACAACTTTTGAACCGTCCTCCATCTCCTCACCTGTCTTTCCCTCTTTGTTACGGACTGGATGTGGGCGGAGTCACGTCTCTGATGTAGGACAACGTCTTAAAGAGACATGACACCATAGCCTACCTACACACATCCAAAAACAACTTATATTTATTTAGTTTTTTGACACCGACTATACCAATATGGGCAAAATGACGTCAGTTGTTGTCGTAAATTTCGTTATCGGTAAATTTTTTTGTTTATCGCCCAGCCCTATTTCCCCGTCAGTATGATCGAGGTGTAACCTTAAGACTGAATTTTGGAAGTCCAGTTCTATACTTCCTCTAATGTCTAGCAATCACTTTTTCTTAGTTTTCCTCTCGTTCTCTAAGACCAGAGAGTAAAATCTTTTATTTCTCATACAGTGGACAGCGAAGGATTTCAAGAAGGAGGACATCTGTAAATATCATCTGCTGTAAAAACCTAAAGACAGTGTGTGTCAAAAACATCAAATTCAGGTCCAGGGTCTCTCGTATCAGAAGTCTCCCTCCTCTCCAAAGAGGTTTTAAAAGTATCGAGAAATTTCTAAGAATTCTGGATTCGAGAAGTCACGAAAGTTTCTGTTCTAGTTTCAGTTCTGAACAGCAACATGAATCTTCTAAGAAACCTCTGTGAGAGTTTTCAGTCTCATTCACCTGCCAGGACCTTCTGTATTGGTGGAACATCAAGTCACCTACGTAAGAACCTGTGAACCCCCTAACTTGGACTTAAGAGTTCAGGGTAACACCAAACAAACTTCTGAGAGACTCACTTGAGACAGACTTTCTGTTCTGGGTTTCTACAGCAGCAACTTTCAGCTTCAGGTTGAGTCACTCTTCTTCTTACAGGAACCTTCAAACAACAAAAGACAGAGACATCAAACTAAACTGCAGCCGATAATTTACATTATTCAGCCAAAGACCAGACTGTGCATTGCAGTTGTGTTGCATCAAAAAGCCAACATTAAATAAAGTAGTACGAGCCGTTCAACATGCTCAAATAGAAAACTAGAAAACATGTGAATATCACTTTGAACGTTACGTAACGATGTAAACAAACACACTCAGGGGAAGAGAAACGTCCACTTTACAGAAACAAACTTTGTCACATGCAGGTTAGTTGAAATTACAACCAGATCTGCAGCAGGTTGAAGTCGAACGTCATTCTTACTGACCTGGACACAGTTCAGGTTTCCGTCCCATTTGTAAACATTAGTGAAAGGTCGTCTGTCCACCGGGCAGGACGGAGCCACCTGCAACTGACAAACAACACGAAACTTACCGAAAAGACTCTAACTGTTTTTAGGGGCACGATGAAAATTGATCAAAGAAAGTGTGTCTCATTGGTCAACATTAGTATTATTATTAGAAATCAATTTCAGTTCTTTTGGACACATGATATGGAAGCTACTGAAGAAAATGTTCAAAATTTGCCTTTAAATTTCACACAAAATCTTCTGAGGACAAATATCTAACCTAACACTAACTTCACCGCAGTATTTACATGAAAAAAAAAAAACATTTGTTGCCCCAGCTGATTTTTATTTTATTTTACACACACATCTATTTTTAGTCGCAAATGCGAGTTCTCCGGTCGCACTGTCGAGCCCTGTCTGATCAAAAATGTGTTTTGAGGCTACCGCTGTGTCGTGCCTCACACCTCACCTGCTCGCCTCAGTCTGAAACGCAGGAAGAGATAAGTCATGCTGCTGGTTTTGTTCACGTGGATTTACGACAAAGTGTAAGCGGGTCACTCAAAGACAGACCCGGAAAACTCGATGAAAGAGCTCCTCGTCGAACAAACTCAACTCTTTGTTTTTACATAGATGGACTGATCGGCGTTACCTCTGCCCACGTGAGGAGACATCTGAGGCAGAAGACATGGCAGCAGCTGTCAGGCATGGCGAGCTCTCCTCCTGCCAGAACGCCCAAGCAGATGGGGCACCGCTCTGCGTCCTCGGGGTCTGTCCCATCAGGCGGGCCCTGACCACCTACACCCACAGGACGGACATCGAGTCAGTTTGTTACAGTAAAGGTGCAGTACGCTTTAATAGATTTAGATCTCTGTATCCTGCTCTGGGAAACATGAAACCTTAATGTGCCGTCAGTGCGAAGACTCACCACTTCCTGGTCCAGTCATGTCGGCCCCGGCCTGTCCTGATCAACACTTCAACACAGAGAGGAAAGAGAAATGGACGTCAGAAAATGTCATAGAAGTTATGCACGTTGTTGTGGATGTAAAACTGAAATAAAAGCTCAAAGGTCATGATCCAAACATCTGTCTGACTGTTCACCTTTTAGTCTCCCATCAGGTCAGTCTGACATGCACAGACAGAAAGGGATGCGTACATGTCTTGATACGAACTTAAACGCTGTGATTCATAACGTCAGACTTCACAAAGAGAGATCCGGACTCTTGGAGAAGAGGCGTGTAAATAAACAAACTCAATCCTGAAACCAAAACCTGCTCCGTGTCGTCAGCCCCGTTTCATTTTTACTGTTTGAGTGCAGAGGTGAGAGACAGACTCTGCGCTGATATTTTAATGGTTTTCTTACTTTATTAAGTCAATATTATGATCGGACTGCCTTCGACTGTGACCCTAAACTGTTACTCATGAAGAGGTTGTCTGTAGTCCGGCTCTAATTCTTCAGGAGCCGTTCTGCGTTTGATTCAAACTAGTTTGCAAACCAAAAGTATGTTCACCTGACTTTAGGGTGAACATACTTTTCAGGAGTGTTCACTTTTCATTCAGCTGAAACAGTACATGAGCTTTAAAATACAGACTAAATATCCTGAAGAGAGTCAAAAGGACTAAAAGACTACAGAGAAGGTGGATGAAACCAGCTAATCTCCACAGAGAAGAACGAAGGTTTTCACCAACTCTCTGAGTAAGTCCAGCTGTGTTGACACTATATTTCAGATTTGAGATTTATCCAAGTCTCTGAATATGAAAGTTAAACTCTGTCGTTCTGAGCAGAGCTATAAACGTCACTCAGATCAGGCAGTTTAAGAGCGATTTTAATGCACCAGAGCACCAATGGCCTTCTCTTTACTCGTGTTTATGGTGTTTGAAATTAAGTGTGATTTGTCCTTTTAAATGTTCTTTATCATGGCCTATAAAAATTCACTGGAACCCTTAAAGGGATATTCCGGCGTAAAATTAATTTTGGGTCAAACACACCGTAACACTAAGTTAGACACCACCTCTAGAGATGAATGTTGCCGACCGCTTGCTTCTCTAGTTATACCAACTTTAGTAACGACCGCACGATAGCAATACATAGCGGTCTGAGGAGACTTAAAACCTCAACCAAAACGCCACTCTATAGCCACAAATAATGCTCAGAACAGCACCTAACTTCATCAACAGGACATATAGGGTCACAGCCATAGTACTAGACACCAAACATCTTTTTAACTTTGCCTAATTTCTTGAGCAAAGAGACTAAACACAACTCACCGTCTCTCTTCCAGCAGACCTCAGGCCAGTCCATTGACTGCAGTGGGGTTTCGCAGTTCAAGGAAGAACATTTATGTTCATTTCTTTATCATTTCCTTGAAGTAATAATCATCATATTAATAATTTTGCACTGCAGACATGGTAGTTCTTCTGCCTTAGCGTCTCAGTCTGATTGTATTTCCATGAAGTAATGATCATCAATGTTCTTCCTTGAGCTGCGAAACTCCGCTGCAGTCGATGGACTTGCCCGAAGGCCTCTGCACAAACAAGCAGCTGCTGGAGGAGAGTAGGTGAGTTGTGTTTAGTCTCTTTGCTAAAGAATGGCTGGGACCCTATATGTACTGTTGATGAAGTTAGGTGCTGTTCTGAGCATTATTTGTTGCTATAGAGTGGTGTTTTGTTTGAGCGCGTGGCTCTCTGTGTTGCTATCTGCGGTTGTTACTAAAGTTGGTATAACTAGAGAAGCAAGCGGTCGGCAACATTCATCTCTGGAGGGGGTGTGTAACTTGGCGTTGCGGTGTGTTTGACCCTAACTTAATTTTGCGCTGGAATATCCCTTTAAGGACGATTTCAACGCACCACAGCACCAATGGCCTTTTTGTACTCATGTTTAGGGTGTTTGAAATGAAGTGTGATTTCTGCTTTTAAATGCTCTCTATCGGCCGGGGTCATTAAAAATTTTATGGTAGGTTGTCCCTTACAATTTTTTAAGCTTCAAATGCAAAAATATGTGGAATATGACTTTAAAAACGTGCATGAGCATAACATAACAGGTTGTACAATCATATATTGACTGGACTCAGGCTTTGTAGAAATATGTTAATTTATGTGGTAATTTAATTGGACAAACAAAAACGGTATGCAACTGTATGATCTGGCAGAATACTCAATAATGACAAATACAGGTCAGGACTGAGAGCAAAGACATCCCTGAAGCCTGCAGTGGTCATTGTGAGGGACTTATGTAACCACAGGTGTGTAATCACAGGTAAAAGGGTGAGTTTCAAAACTAGCACAGGCCATTAAATCACCGTCTATGTAACTGATTTAGACCCATGTTTGGGGTTTAACAACATTCATTCATTAAAGGAGGTGTTAAAGATGTGAAATCCACTCAGTGTGTTGAAAAGATTGACAGTAATTTACCGTTTTTATTTCCCCGTATGCTCACCCTCTCTGATATAAAATAAGCTAAGTGTTGTAACTAAATATCAGCTGGGTGTGCAGGGAGTCTCTTTCTTTCTACTGTTGTGAGGCAGCACGGCCTCCTCCTCCTCCTTCTTTGAGACATAAAATTAGCACCAACTTGATCAAGCAGAGCAGAGCAGAGCCAACACGACAGCGGAGAAAATAATCCAGCCTGTTGTTACGTTAGCTAGGCAGCTAACGCCAGCTAAAAACATAGCTCCGTGGAAGCTAGCTGTCTGTTGTTAGCACGGCTGCAAACTTTGACGGAACACCGTCTAATATCAGCCGTGATCATTATACTGAAGGTCATAAGTTAGCTAGCTGGGAAGCTAACTATCTGCTTTGAACAACAGCACCTGCTTACGTCGCTTTTAGCCTGTTAGCCGTTAGCTCCAGTTGACCAATAACAAGTGTCGTTACTCACCTCGAAGTGCTGCCGCGGCTGATTTTGCGCCAAAATCGACTGTTTTTAGCGTCCGAGCTGCGGCTGAGAAATACTAACGGATCGCACAATCCGGGACTTGTTTTTGGCTAAATTCGAAGCGCAGCTTTCAGAAACTCTCAGCCACATGTCTCGCAGTCCGGCTGAGAGTCGGTGCAGCTGGCGCCCCCTGCTGGGCCCGCCGAGCGTTACAGAGAAGAGTGGTTCAGCTGTGTGTGTGTGTGTGTGTGTGTGTGTGTGTGTGTGTGTGTGTGTGTGTGTGTGTGTGTGTGTGTGTGTGTGTGTGTGTGTATTTCTACATGTGAAGAAGAAACAGCAACAGGTGATAAAAACAGCGATCAAGACTCTATGGAAGTCAATCTGTGCCATCTGATTTTGAATGTGAATCTCTAAAGCTGAATTTTTTTGCATCAAAATCAGACTTTGAATTTCAAAACTATTGAATTTCAAGCACAGATTTTTATTTCTGACATTTATTCTTTTACAGTGATGAAATAAATTCAGTGTAAAAAAAAGCAGCCCCTTAGAAGATTTGCCTAGTAAAAAATTTGACTTAAAATAAAACTGTAAAAAAATGCAGTGTAAAAAATTCAGTGTAAAAAAATGCAGTATTAAACAGACCTACTAAATTTTTTATGCTAAAATTTTTTTTACAGTTTTTTTAAGTTTAATTTTTACTAAACAAATATTTTGAGAGACCGATTTTTTTTTTACACTGAATTTATTTCATCATTGTGAAAAAAAAATAAGTGTCAGAAATAAAAATGCTTACTTGAAATTCAAAGTCTGATTTTGATGCAAAAAAATTCAGCATTAGAAATTCAAATTTAAAATCAGATGGCACAGATTCACTTCCATAAGACTCTCCTCATTCAATCTGCAGATATCATGACTGCCATGCTTGAATTTTTTAATGATCAAATTAAATATTTAACAGCATTTTAACGAGAAAAAAAGATTATGATCATTGATAAGTGCAGGATGTAGGGGAGAGTGGGGTAAGATGAGCCATTTTTCATATTTCAGATTACTACATCAAGACAATCATAGTTTTGTCTCTAACTAGTTTATCTGCATATATTTCAGGATGTTGTTCATCCCTGTAAACCAACAGAATGAGTGTAAACAGAACTGTCTTGATAGTATAGCATGCCAAAAACAAAGTGGTCTCCTTTGGTCAACTAACCCCATGTATAGAGTAAGTTGACCATCAGACTCCTTTACTTTCTCAGTTACCCCTGAACCACTATTATGACTTTATTAGTCCTCTAAGCTAAAATGGTGGACTTTTATGTTAGGTTTTTGACCTCATGTTGTCGCTCATACATACCACAATTGATGCATAAAACAAATTTAAAATGATCTTTTTTGGTCTGAACACAATTCTAATCAAACTTATGACAGACTAAATTCACTTTCAAGAGTGAAAAATGATTTTTTTTGTAAATAAATGTCTAACCCCTTCACTCATGTGCTTCTAACCTACACAGACTCCATGAATTGATGCCCGTCTCCTAAATATTTGGTCACATGATCAATTTCTTTGACCATTTCCAGGAAACAGGGGTTGGCTCAACTTACCCCACCCTCCCCTATGGTCCAAATCTCCATGTACAGGCCTAAGCAGTCAAGCAAAAACAAGATCCTTATAATAAAGGATAATATCAACGTTGATTTCTCAGGATCTCAACTCATAATCCCATTACCTGAGCATACCAGTCATTACCAGAGATGTCCACAGACTCAAACCAATATAAAGTGCATGATATGAATAATAACGATAAGATCAAATATTGTGCTCTGTGGTTGAAATGTAAAATTGTGTCTCTCTACTGCCCTCCAATGGCCAAAAGTAGAATTGCATCACATTCATCATCAGTGCTTGAAGACTGAGAAGTTTAGTTCATCCTATTTTTTCCCACTGAGACCAAACTGAGAGAAATTTTCAGATTCATTAGTTTCATCATCAATACTTTAGCATTTTGTTTTTCTAAAAAAAAGCACAGATTGGATATTTTTAGTTGACCAGGTTTGGCTCAAAGTCAAACATTGTGACTCGGTGAAACAAGTGAATGGAAAATGACTATAATGTGTTTTATCAGGAACACATGCTCTCCCGGCCGGTATATCAAAAGGTTGGAAAAGCAATACCACATGTCTCCATTTATTAAATCATCACTTTGCCTTGAAGTACTTTTGTAGCACAGGGTTTCAGTCCTCCTCTTCAAAGTATTCAGCGCAGAGCCGAAGCTGGAAGCAAACATATATTAAAGCCACAAGCGGCGATGAACAGGCCCTCGAACTTTGGAGCAAGTTGTGGTTTAGCGACTGCATGATGTGTCCATTGGGTTTTAGAGTGAAGATCTCAGGATGAATCAGAATAATTTTGGAGGATTTTGGCAAATTAGGGGAATTGAAAGCGGTCACGTGGAAGCAGTAAGCTCCTGTTGCCAGTGGGTGGTGCTGTAACGACATTCACACGTTACCAGGCTTGAAAATACATCTCATAGAGTGAACAAATGACATTTTCAAGGTAAGAGTACGGCTGTTAGCAAATATCACCATATGTATGTGTTCAGGTCTGGATCATTATCATACATGTGAGGTCTAGAGTTTAGAGCATGCATGGTTGGATTATAGTGTTGTGTCGTTCATGAACATTTCATTCAGAAGTACGGAAGTGCTGAGTGAACAACGTGAACTGAATCACTCCAAGACCTGATTCGTTCCTTTTTCAGATCAGTTGAGCTCAGCCGCAAGCCTGGCGTGCCCGTCTGGAGTGGAACTGCCGCCTTTGACTCTTTGGCGAACAACACACAGCCAGGCAGCGAGCGAGTGGGTGGGTGGAGTCTCGTGATTCACTCACAGCGAATGAACGACATGTATCAGTATGTGAACGATACATCAGTCAGTGAACGGCACGCCTTTACATTAATACACGTCTATAAACTTTCCTGCAAGAAGGATTTAATTTCGGCCGATTTAAAGCAATACGCTATTTGATATCTTAAAAAGTAGCAGAATCCCCACTACAGCTGCCATGTTTATTCATTTTTAATCTCTCCACTTTTTGTGATATAACAGAACGACGACTCGCACTCGTTTAGTAAGCGTGCTGCTTGCTGCTGTGCTGTTTTCGCGGACAGCAACACTCAGAGAGGTGATTCTTCCTTTAGGATTTGGCGAATGAACGATGCTGTGACTCCAGCAGCAGAGGGAAGGAGGGGCTCGTTCAATAAATGAACTCACGGCTGTGTCACTCACTTGTGTACTGCATTAGCAGGATGGGTCTTCAAAGCACTGACCGATTCAGTGAACGAATCCTTTTAATGAAGGGACTCTAAAGATTCAGTACAGTCGAAAGAACTGTTCTTCCCATCAGTGCTGGATTTAAAAATGACCTCCTGTTTTGAAACAGCTGTCTTTGAAGGCCGAACTAATAGTGGCTTTAATTGGACAACATTCCCCAGCAGAATTCACTGGTTGTACCCATTAAGAAGTCCAGACTTTAGAGGATTTTAGGAGGTGTAATGGAGCCCATAATGGGTGTGCAAGATTGAATTGCATGTTAAAACCTTATAAAAGCAACACATTTCACTAAAA